GGGGGCGGCGTGCGGTTCAGGATGAACTCGGACTTTTCTTGCTGCTTTTGGGCGGATTTGTACAGCTTGATGGAGAACCACGTGATGCCAAAGATAGACCCGGCGAACATGACGAACAAGAAGAGCCAGCCAGGCCACACTCGCTTCCGACCGAGCGTCTTTGCCGGTCGGTCACCAGTATCTATCTTGCCAATTCGAATGTCTGGTCGCGCTGCTGCGATAGTTCCTCGGTCGGCGATGGTTGGTCGTTCTGCAAATGTCGGGCGAACACCGCCGCTTTGGAGGTGTCCATCGTTTGAACGGGAGCTCTCGAGCGCACTCGACTGCTGCACGAGGTAAGTGTTGTACCCTCGCTCGGCTGTTGTGTCTTGCCAAACTTCCACGTGCTCCATCGGGTCATCATGAGGCGCGACGGAGTCCTGCGTATCCTGTGTGTAGTACTGTGGACGGCTCATCGCGCTTCGTCAAAGCCGACGGACGAATGTTTCCAAGTCCTGGCGATTGGGTACACATTGCAGTTACGAGCAAAAATTATTTAAATCGTGCTAAATCCTAGTACATTGATTAAGATTTACATGAAAAATAATAAACTGCACGCAAGTACTGTCCATACGCACTGTTCACATTCACATACAAATTTCAAGTAAAATGAGGTGAGTAATTCGAACTTTGCCTGCTTGGTGGCAAGGTTATCCGAATTTGTTAAAAAATTTGCATGCGTTGTTGACATGTCGTCCGGAATTTGCTAATATTCGTTGGGTATATCCGGACGCTGGGCAATGCTCAAAATTTGTCCAATCAGAACGTAGTGTTTGCAGCTTCGGACCTCGAGTTTAGTATCACTTTTGTGATTTTTGTGCTGTTTGCTGAAAACGTATTTTGAAGACTAGACTAGTTAAAAAAATGAAGACGGAATATTTGCGTTATCGGCGTGGTGTGTGATGGACGATGGATCCCTACTGAAGGTGCTGAACAATGCCCGGAGCGTGAACTCGCAGCTCATGAAGACTAATTTGGGCCTGTTGATGTCTATCCGAGAGACAGACTGTGAGATTCAACGGGCCAAGGAGCAGTTGCAGAGATACCACGCACGGTTGCAGGGGCGTGGCCTTGGCATTGGGGCTGCATGTGACGTTGCACGGACCACCACTGCACCTCCTCGCAACAACGCGACAGAAGAAAAAACCAAAGATAGCAACTCAGACAAAAGGAACGACGAAGACAACAATGGAGATCAGAACTCGGAGTCAAGCTCCGACTCGTCGGGCGAAGAATGAGTAATACATTCGTCACGCTTATGGCTTTTCAAACACATACAGCCTGCGCACGACGTTGTTCGGAGGGGTCCAGTCTTCCACCGCGATGGACTTCAGGTTCGCAGCTTGTGCATATGCAGCCATTTCCTCCGGACTAGGCAGATACACATGCAGCTGACCTCCCATCGGCACATCGTAGGAGATTGGCTGACTGTGCACAAGCGTGACATGGCCGCGGTTCCCAGGGTTCGACACGTCCACGAGCAGAAGTCCACCTGAGGTAAGCCATTGGGCACAACGAAGGAAGATGCGCTGCTGCTCCGCGGGGGAGAACTCCATGAGTGTGGACCACATGACGAGGACAGCGTCAAACTTGTTGTTGCTCCTTGCGAGGACAGTGTCGTCCAGAACAGATCCGAGTACAATGGACACACGCTTGTCCTCTCTGTACTTGGTTGTCAAGTGATTCACCAAGACAGAGCTAACTTCGATGCCAACAATCACTTCAGGCGCTGAATCCAGTTGCAAGAAGTAGTCGAGGCATCGACCCGATCCAGGACCAACTTCCAGCACGGCTGACACTGGGTGTCGAAGGTACTTGGCTGCATTCATCAGGTCGCTCGTGCCAAAGTTTGACGTTGCGATCGACTCGAGGATGGTGAGCGTCTGCGGAGCATCATAGGCAGCTACATTGTTGGAGTTGTTCATCGGGGCAGTTGCTGGTGATATCAGGAATGGCCTTGGCGTGACATTGCGATCTTCTTGGAATCTATGTGATCTTGCTCGTTCTTGGTTCGTCGTTCGAAACACATATAATCCCATTTTAAAGAAAATCGTCACAACAATACACGTACGTACAGTATGTACTTCTGTGTAAACCACCTGACATTTTAAATCAATTTCAAATTGGTATGGAGTGTTGGCTTCCTTGTTCAAGACACGTTCGAGACCATAAAATACCTCCACAACCATGACTGCGGTTGACGCGGCAATCCAATGCCCCTCGTGCTTGGCACACTTCCCATCCAACGACGACGCGCTCCCCGTCCACTTGTCGGCATGTGCCCCAACAGACTCAGTTGATGCGGAGTATAAGCATTGCTTGATCTGCTTCAAAGCTTTCGGCCCTGTCGTCCCAGCCAACGAGATTCTGTTTCACAAGGACGAATGCGAACGAGTCAATGGCCCGCCACCGAAGCGTACAGGTGCGCAGAAGCGCCGCCGCGGCAGCGATGCAGACAAGACACCATCGTCTGTGCCGTTCTCGCACGTTCTACCCTCGCCGTCGAGGGGGGTTCAAACTACAGTTCAATCCGAGGCACCACTCGATTACTCGACAGAGGACTCGACTACGACGCTTTGCTTTTTGTGTGGGCAAGGTGGACGACAGCTTGTCATATGCACAGCCACCTGCGCAAGAGCGTTCCATGTTTGGTGCATTGGTGAAAACGCAGTATTGACCCAGCGACAAGGCCAGAACTCTCGTCGAGTTTGGCAATGTGGGGAATGCAGTCGCAGCGTCCACACTTGCTCTACGTGTGGGTTATTGGGCGACGATGGCTTTGACATATACCTATGCTCGATAGCCGGATGTGGATTGTACTGCCATGATCGGTGCATGGCTGACGGGCCCATCGACGCCGCCGTTGCAGCTACCTTTGTCTGCGGTCGGCATACTTGCCGTGAGTGCAACTTACCCAGCGCGACACCGTCAGCTCCATCCGATTGCATCAAGTGCTACAAGTGCGCCACGATGGTGCACAAGGCGTGTCAGTCGAAAGCGTCCTTCCAACCCTTGTTTACCAACATCACGGGAAGATTTGGCGACTGCGGCGTGCACCCCGCCGCTCCAGTTCCTGCGCATTTCAAGGCCAAGGTGTCAACTCATGACATCGTGGTAGTCCTCGAGTTTGCCAACAACGTGCTGCCCATGACAGCTCGGCTCTACAACGGAAACCAGGTCCGTGTCTTTGGTCGGACAACTGTGTTGATCGACTCATGCGACGTAGTGGGGCCGAGTGGCCCGCGTCGAGTCCCTGGACGGAGGCGCCCAGTTGCTCAGTGTGGTGTTGTTCGCGTGTGGCACAACGATTTCGGTGCCTGGGCACTGTGTCTTGCGCACCGGCGGCCATTACTCTCTCACCGTACGTCTACACGAGGCTCTGGGCGTAATGCCGTCGTGGCCTCAACAGACCTGACTTCCTCGTTCGGGCGACGCGTAGGCCGCGTGCTTGGGCGAATGCATGACGAGCCACGTTCAAAGTGAATGGAACATTCGACAACGGTTGGCGAACGGGCAGCCATTGACTGATCGCCAGGTGGGTTTTGCAACGACTCCTTCGCCCCCCCCCTCTTCATGCATGGCGTTCATAGAAAGCGGACGCAAGGATGGACACATGTCTGACTTTCCAGCACTTTGGCAAGCTGCTCAAGATGACGTCGACGCAACTGATCGAGCTTACGGAGCATGCCAACAAGACGGGTGCAGTGGCCCTTCAGCCGTTCACTTGCCTCGATACACGCCGTCGACGGACCATGTTGGCCGCGCAGGCCCACGTGCCGAGCAAGACGTGTGCGATCTCGATCCTCTGAGTTCAGACAATTCAACGGAACCCACTTGCTAAATCACTCGCAATTCCATCCCAGAGTTATGGTCGACCTTTTTTTTACGCGGCCATCTCACCTTGACCTGAACAAGGTGACGCCACGCAATCTTCGCGTGGTGAATCCAAACTCCGTTCCACCACCGCAAGCTGGAGGACTTGCGACGGCCCGTCTAGCTCTGCACATTGGCATGATCCTCGTGCTGAGCCTCCTCTCTGCGCACGTCGGGCGATTCAGGACGAGCATGCCCTCTCATACACGTCGATGAAAAGACGTTTCAACGCAGCATGTCGCCGGCCTGCCACACATACGTCCGACGTCCTGGACAAATCAGTACGATATTTACATTTTCCGTATTACATGGGGGTGTGGTCCTCGACAAACGAGTGGAGCTTGGCTTCGTCGGCACACAAGTCGGTCGTGCCGTTCACAACGACGGGGCCGCCGATGCAAGCAGGGAGAAACTTGGACCCGCCCATCCACGCCCTGAGTTTCGGGGCATATTCCTTGGCCGTGGGGCAGATTCGAATCTTGTGGCGTGTCACTTCGCTCACGAGTCGCTGGACGACGTTCCAAAACGCATTGAACCACTTGGGGGTGTTGATCAAGTAGACGACGCCACACCGTTCGGGGTAGTGCTGGCCTACAAATGACACCACGATAAACGATTGCAGAGAATGAGAACATTGCCATACCGATGGTGCGCAACGTCCACGTGACAAACGTGCGCAAGTTGGTGTTGCTGACGTCGGCGAGCTGGATGCCCTGGAAGTCGAGAACCTTGATCATCTGGCCTGACGTTGTGTCATCAACGTTGTACTCGTGCGTGTCGAGGATGCTCCACTGGTACTCGGTCAGGTACAGGTAGTGCGTCATCACGTCCTGGAACGAAATGTTGTGCTTGGCGTCCAAGTCGTGCAGTGCTTGCTTGAGGCCACCGACATGCTCGTACACGACGAGTCGGTTGTCACTGGGTGTGCGGCCGCAGTAGAAATGCTGCCAGTGTTGCTTGATCAAGTGGAATTGGGGCCGAGGAAGACTCAGGATGTTATCGATCCCGTGGGACACGCGCCACGCCTTCGTTTCGGCCCATCGCTCTGGGGCGTTTTTTGAGCACCCGTAGACAAAACGGGGAGGAATGAAGTCAGGCGATGACACCACATCTGTATGCGAGCAACCACCGCTGCCATTCCACTCGGACGCATACACGCCTTGCTCGACGTCGATGTGAATGTCCACATTATCAACGTTCACTTCGAAGTCCATCGTTTCAAGCTCACTGGCAGAGTCGAGGTCCGTGGCACCATCGTCGCCAGGGGAAGCATTGGCGTTGGTCTCTTCATTCTTGGGAGGAGCCACCGCCTTCGAGGCAGTTTGCTTCGACCCGAACAACTTGAACATCTTGGCGACGCACCCAGACGAATAATGGCACTTGCATCATGAAAGCCAACTCAGATTATCCGGATGATTCATTGCCACATACAAAAGACAAGCTGTTTTGGTGCTCATCCGGATAACCACATTGCATAGGATGGACGGGACAGCGTTTTGAACCACTTGAATCCGACCCATGGCAGAGCCAACGAAGGCTGGTTACAGCTCATGCAGCGCCCAGATTGGGATGATGGCGAACACTAGCCTCTCGATGCGCTGGTCTTGCTGGGATATGTGGCAAGCTGTGGTGGCCAGTGCCGTTCCCTGTTGTGGAAGGCTGTTTGTCCAAAACAGTGGCACTTTTTTTGCGTGAATTCAACGGTATCCGGATGGACATCCGGATATTATTATCCGGATTCAAAGGTTGATCTTTCGATTTTTGGCAAAGAAAGGGCTTCGCAGAACCTGCAACACGGTGGACGATGACATCGGGTACGCAGGAATCCGAGTGATGCACTGTGCATGCTGTGTGGGTTGACGTTTAATCGATATTGTGTAGTGAAGGAGCGAAGGACCAAGCCGAGTGCGACCGAGTTCACGTTCGGTCGAGAGCTCGGCCAAGGCAATTTCTCCCGTGTGTTCCTCGCCACTCACAAAGCGACCAAGGAAGTCTTCGCTGTCAAGATGATCGAGAAAGCGCGCATCATGCGCATGAAAATTCGACATCCGAACATCTTCAACGAAGTCAACATGGAGAAAACCGTGCTCAACATGCTTCGCCATCCCAATGTCGTCCGAATGTACCATACATTTCAAGACGCGGCAAATCTGTACTTTCTCATGGAATACGTTTCGAATGGCGAGTTGTGGGATGTTCTCCAACTTCAAGGCAAGCAAATTGGATGCACGGAAGGACTTGCGCAGTTCTACGGCGCCGACATCGTCAACGCACTCGAATACATGGCGTCTCGACATATTGTCCATCGGTACGACCCACATGCCCACCTATTGTGCCAATCATCCTGCGGCTGCAGAGACCTCAAGCCGGAAAATATGATCGTTGCCAAAGACGACGGACACATCCGGCTTGTGGATTTTGGCACGGCCAAAAATTTGTCGGACATCTCGCTTAACGGGCCAAACTTTGTTGGGACCCCAGGTTCGTGTAGCACAATGAGGCATCGTTTTCGCTCACGGCATTGTTGTAGAGTACATGTCCCCCGAGACAATCGACAACAAGTCCGTCGATTGCAAAAGCGATCTGTGGTCCTTGGGATGCATCTTGTACCAACTCCTGGCGGGCGAAACGCCATTTCAAGGGGGCAGCGCCTACCTCACCTTTCTCAAGGTCAAGGCAGGAACATTTGATTTTCCAGAGTTCTTTTCGGACGCAGCCAAGGACCTCATCGCGCAATTGCTGCAAACCCAGCCACAAGCGCGCCCTTCGTTTGACGCTATCAAAGGTTGGTGAAGAATTTCATCCAAGTTCGACGACTTCCAATAGTTGCAATTCGTAGCGCACCCGTTCTTTCATGGCGTTGACTTTGCCCACCACATGAATGCTACCGCGCCTGAACCGACACCAGACGATCGGTTTGTTGTACAAACTGCCCAAGCGATTGCTGCCTACGTCGCGGGGTCATCGGGACCCCGTCCTGATGTCCTCGCCACTGCCGCGAATCTCCAACCCTCCACTAAAAGCCGCCTGATGCATGTCCTTCGCCGCATGCGGCTTCTAGACCACCATTGTAAGACACGGGGCATTAAGCTGCATCTCCCATTCATATCCAAGTGCAACTTGCCCTCAACTGGACCTAACACTCGTTCCTTACTTTTATTGTGCTTCCTCCAGTTGTGTACCCAGCGTTTTCTCAACAAGGCCCTGCCGCAGGACGATGCCACTATGCCACGCGGCGAGGATACATTGGGTTTGAGCATTCGGTGCACAACCAGTGGGGCAAGCCTTATCGCTTTGTTCATGTACGCTAATCTGGACACAATCCCACACAATTGAAATGACCACATGCCACTGTTTGCGCAGATTTCTGGACCTGCCCTGGGACTCTTGCATGGCGATGGGGTTCACGACGACGCCGACTCGTCTTGGCGTCGTCAACTCGAAGACTTTGAGCAAGTTCTGATGGCGATCAACGAGCTGCACCCCGTGTTTGTTGTGTTGTCCGGGAACATGACGACGAACGACGCGGCTGTTGATGCAAAGGATACTGAGACCCGAGCTCAAACGATCGCTGCCTTCCAAGAAGTCGTGAATAGAGCGCTGGACCCCACGATTCGAGTGGTACGCATCGAGGCATGCTAAGTACACTATGGTCACCATGCTCCAACAGGTGTTTGTGCCCGGCGAAGGGACCTCCGACCAGTCGGCCCCATTCGGTGACGACTTCTACAGCTTTTGGTAGGAAAATTAGCCTCGACAACTGTGCATTGACCAGTTTTGAAGGGTCGGCGGAGTCAAGTACATCGTGTTGAACTCCGCGTTGTTTATACAATCTGAGAGCACGTTGGAGCGATCGCTGGCCCAAGACAGTATGTTGTGCGAGCTGCTGTGCAGACTTGCCACGTCTACGTGCTAACGTACGGCTGTAGAATGGCTGCAAGCTGAACTGGAGCATGGTTCCTTGTGCGCCCACCACGTGTGTGTGTTTTCCCACCACCCGTTCTTCGTGGAAGCAATCGATGAGCCGACGCGAATCGATCGAGATACCGCTCTTGTCTCCGACAACAACGAGCCGTTGATGTCGTGGAATGTTGGAGCTCAGGTACGCAGGCTGCGCGATTTTTCCTGTGGGCGTAAAAAGGATGGGTGTTGTCTCATGCCAGACACGTCTGCCGTACGTGAAAATGCTTGCTGAAGCCAAAGTGCGGGGGCTTTTCAGCAGCAACTTTCCCTCAACCCATGTTGGCACCGTGATCTGGCCGACGAAGGAGCCCAGCGACGACACTGCTGCGGACGAAGAAAGGGACAGTTCACTTGTCTGCACTGTCGCCGTGACCAATACATTCGCGTCGGCCCCATCGTCGATCCCCACGACGAAGCGCGTGTTTCACCTTGTTCATGTAGAACAAACGGGATTTCAAGTCCACGCGCATCCCGTCGGCGTATAGTCGAAGACACAATGTACAAATACGTCTCAACCTTGATACACATCACATCATGCCACGCTCTTCGTCGTCCTTGAGCTCTTCATCGTCGTCGTGCATGAGATGTGCCATCTCAACGTTGGCCATTTCTATCTCGCGGTGCTTGTTGAGGACGTACGAAACGCGCTTGAAATGCGCCAGCCGCATCGCGACTGCGTGCTTGTGGGACGCGGCTTTGCTGATGCGCCGGCGCTGCCACGTGATGAGGACAAGGAGGCCCACCAGGACACACAGAACAAATCCTACGCTACGAAAGGCCAACATTCGCGAGTGCTCTTCATGCGCCAACATCATGCTCTCCGCCGCGGCGCGCTCCTCAATGTTCAGCGTTGTCTTTGGGTCCATGATGCACTCGGCTATTGGGACAAGGTCAACAGGCGAAAGATTTCCTCCCACGTCAACTATCCGTATACATCCGGATATTTTGGATGAATGTCGAAGCCAGCGACGGAATCGAGCTTGGGTCGTCACGGCCGGAAAGCACTCCGCACAGCATGCATGCAAGCATCATGGAAGACTGATTGGAGTCCTGGCGTGTCGATCGCACCCCACGCGCGGTTGCGTTTTTCGATGATGCCGTGTGGGCAGAGGCATGGCTTGATTGCATCGCCCAGGAAGAACGAAGCTGTTGTATGTCGAGATACAAAACGACCAAGCGGTGCCATAACCTTCACAGAAAAACACTGGGGGTCGAATAGGACCCATCGGATGCTTAGTTGGACCAGTGCCTTTCCAACCTTCCTGGCACGAACACCGAATGTTGCCCACTTGCCTCGTCGACTGTTCATCCACGCAGCGTCACTGCGACTGAATGCACTTGTCCTAGTTATCATTCCACAACGCGCACTGGTACGACTGTTGAGTCAGATCTTGGCTAGGAATCGCCACAAGATCATGCGCGGCTTGTTGTCGAGCGGCGTTCCAATCACCTTGGGTGGACTGCGGACCCTATCTGTTGTCGGCGGCATCGTCAACGAGAGAGATGTGAGCGAAGCGTTGTTATGAAAGAATGCTATGTGTGGAGGTGGCTGTGGTCGTAAAATTGCTTCGTGCACGCGTTGCGGGCGTGTGTCCCGTTGTTCTGGACCTTGTTGGCCCCGACACCGACCGCCTCCGAGCTCAGGACGAAGTGACCGTTGTTGCGTCGAAACTGCGAATTGCCCGTGCGGAGTGTGTAGAATGTGTCGCGGTGGCTCTTCTGGTTGAACTCGGTCGCCTGCGTCCGTCCGATATCGTACAGGAACTTGGTTTCTTTCAAGCCCTCCGGGAACTGATGTTTCTCGGCCGGGAACGTGCTGTCGCCGCCGCCGTCGTCGTCATCGTTTGGGTGCCTCTGAATGCCTTTCTGCGAAATGTGCTCTTCCCTCGCCAGCGTCTCGCGGTACTGCTCGGTGCGGACGTGGCTCATAAATTCATCGCGGCGGCTGGCGTCCTTGGTCCCGAACCCGGCTTTGCGGTCCGCCGCCGGCTGCGTCTTCAAGTACATCACGCCATCTTGAAGTGGGTCGGATGAGTACGTTTTCTTTTCGAAGTACCCGCCGCCGTCGCTCGTGTCCTTGGGCGGCACCGTTTGGAATTGCTTGTTCTTGTGCCGGTCCGACTTGCCCTCAATGATATGCGGGTCTCTGTACGGGTCACCGACACTCAGGTAGCTCTTCGCGATGTTTTTGTTGAGCTCCCGCGTGCGATACATGGCGATCGGATTTCCCAAATGACCTGGCGAGATGCTTGCCGTGGCCAGTGTTGTATTTTTAGATGCCGACCAAAATCATGGCGTGTTCGGGCTCGTGTGGCACCAACAGCAAAAAAGATGGCGAGAACGCTGCCACTTGGATCGCTCTTATCTGTGCCGTGCCCGTTGGCCTGCTACACCCTTTCCACGTCCTCGAGGTGTCGTGAGGAAGGTTCGGATGCCAACTGCAAAGGCCAACATGGGGTGGCATCTAAACTCAGCTAAATGCACGAAACATGTTCTAGTGTAGTTTAGGGGGGGGATAACGATGACCTATGAAGAGCAGCCGAAATGACAACAGGTCGAAAGAAAGTGTGAGTGGTGCGAGCCTTACATCATCGTGTCGCGTGCTGCCTTTTTGCAACAGACACAACGAACGATGGCCATGCAGACGGAGAGCCTTCCATGCGCTCGATCATGACGAGGCGCGAGCACGATGAAGGCTGGCTTCTGTCTTGCCTGGCCTGACCATCGTGTTCGAGGGCACTTGGTTAACTTGCGAAAAATGTCGTCTTGACGAAAGTATGAAAATTCGACGAATTTCATCGAAAATTTAATCTCTTTTGTCATACTGTATTCGAATCCTCCATGGTACGTTGACGTTTCGACGGTGCAGTTCGACACGGCCATTGACGACCTTTCATCATTTGGTCACGGGGGAGCAATGTAGAACGGCGCGAATGCCGCCTCCTCCTTAGCAGCCATCGCCCATGCTACACAAAGCACCTCTGCCGACAGGTCCAAGCATCGACGAGGTGAGAGCTCAGTGACGATCCGTGTAGCATGATGTTGCGATGGAACACTACAACAACTTGTCCATTGTTGGAGGAGTGTTCCTCGCTCGTGGCTCTACCGCCAGCAATCCTTCTGCGACGCCGTCGTTAAGACCCCTTTCTCATGGAAGCTTTGCCAAACGCCAGTCAATTGTCGAGATGACGCAGACAAGACTAAAGCTGGCGACCGACCGTCAAAGATGCTATGTCGGAAGCGAGTGTGGCCTGGCTGGTTCTTCTTGTTCGTCATGTTCGCCGGGTCCATCTTTGGCATCACGTGGTTCTCCATCAAGCTGTACAAATCCGCCCAAAAGCAGCAAGAAAAGTCCGAGTTCATCCTGAACCGCACGCCGCCCCCCATCACTCCCCCCAAGAGTACGTGACGTCGTTGGTGGTGTGGTGCTGACCGTGCTGTAGTCTGTGAACAGACCGACTTTGTGAACGAGAAAGGCGTGATTTACGCCAAGTACAAGAGCGCGCCGTCCCAGAAGATTATCATCACGGGCATCAACTGGAGCGGCATGGAGAACCCGGAAGGCGTGCCGCATGGCCTTGCCTTTGGTCAAGCCT